GTACACTGAGCATGATAAAAGAGATCCGATAAATGGAAAAAGTACCAAAACGAAGACACTGTTTACTGCCCAAAACCTTTAAAATGCTTTACACCGCCACGAGATTGTGAAATGAATACGACTCAAAATCCAGAATATGAAGACGATAGTGACGATGACGAAATAAACGAACAGGATGACAATTATGAAGAACATCCCCATTTTAGACATATGGAGGATGAAGACTTGAAAAAGGTAATATTAATATTTCAAAAAGTTCTTGTGTTATAAATTAGTTTCATGTGATGTAGAAATTTTTTCACAACAGTTATATTTTAGCTTAAAACTTGAAATTAATCAAAACTACGAAATTTTACTCATGATAAATAGTTTACAAGAATTTTAAAAAGTTAAGTTGACATTGTCTTTCATAATTGTCATGTTTAACAAAACCACATTTAAATTTAAATAATTTCTTTAATTAATGATACGAATAATGATTACTATATATATATTATATATTAATCAATATATAATTTTTTAAGGCTCAAGTCGCAGCTCGCGCCAAACTGCTGCGTGAAAAGTTTGAAAAGTGGGAAGCTAATGAAATACAGCGAGAACTTAATGACGAACTTGTTGATATATATTCAGAAAAAGTATCCGACGATTCAACCATCGAATCCACAAAAACGTAGGTCTTTTCATTTTAGATTTTTGCTTAATATTTACAATATTTTTCTTGTACGTAGAATTCGAGATCGTTTTGAAAATATGAATAACAATGAGAATCAACCGTCCTTAAAGCAGAGATATCAAGTTAACCGATTTGTTGTAAGTTCACGTTTGAGAAATCATTCCAGTTTAATAACAAAACATATTGAATTTTGCAGTAAATCATGTTAAATGCCAAAGGTTATTGATCCGGAGATTTGTAAGAACCGTACTATAATTGGCACATGCAGAACACAAACCAGATAGCTTGGACGAACAAAATGCTACCATGAATGATGCAGACAATTTTGCACAAACTTTTCAGTATCACATTAGGCATCTTTACTTTTATATATATATAAACGTCATAATTAATATATTGTAAATATTACATTTACATTATTATATTCTTTTTATATATTGATATTTCAAAAAGATATAAAAATATTTGTTTTTACTAATTTGTAATATTTGCAAGCATTATTACGCATAAAATTTATGTTTAAGAAAAATATACGAATGTTTACCATTAAAATTTGACGTCTTTTATTTTTGAGTTCATTTTGATTTAACGTAATTAGCGTAAGATATCTTGGGTGTTTGTGTATTTTTAAATATTACATTAAATATTAGTAATCAATTTATACCACTTTGTAAAACAAAAATACGTTCCAGACTGTCAAAGAATAGTCTACTCGAAATTACTTTTAGTGGCAAACCGCTCAACGCTATAAGATTACTTATCTGAACAGCTTTAGTTATGTACCCAGTTTTAATTTATTAAATGACCTTTCATTAAATTGCCTTTAATATTTAGGTTGAAGTTTTTTTCTGATGAATAAGATGCTTTTCTGTTGTTGTCAATTCCAGTTTTGGAATGGAAACAAGTTGAGTGTTCGACAACTCTCCACGGAACTACAACTAGCCAGAACTGCGCAGCTGATACAAACCGCTCCAAGTAAACGGGAGTCAACCGGGATGATTATATTTTACATAACCAAAGCCTTTGAAATGGTCTGGCAGGATAGCCTACTAGTCAAATTGGTCCGTTTTGGGTTCCCTAGTGGTTTGACTAAAATCATTAGTAGCTTCCTGCAAGAAAGGTCCTTCCGTACTAAAATTAACAGCACTCTTTCGTCCGTCCGATCAATAGTAGCAGGTGTACCTCAAGGGTCGCCTTTGTCTCCCACATTGTTTAATGTATATATGGCAGACATCCCCACTTCAAGTCCCACGTCAATGGCGCTTTACCCAGACGATACGTGCTTGATCTACTCGGATCGGGATGCCATAAATGTAAGCAACACTTTACAGGGAAATATAGACCTTATGGTGGAATACTTCCAAAAATGGAAGATTAAAATTAATAATGACAAAACCAAGGCTATATTTATAACTCGAAAAAGAAGACAGCGTCCTCCAAGAATGAGCGTTTGTGACACGGAGATACGGTGAGAGGATAACTTAAAATATCTGGGGGTCACTTTTGACAAACGGTTCAATTGGCTTAAACATTTGAAATACAAACAGAATAGCTGCTCTAAGATTCTACATTTATTAAAGCCGCTATTTAATAATTATCACTTCAACTTTAAAAACAGAAAGTTACTTTATACGCAAGTAATTAGACCAGCACTACTGTACGGATGTGTTACATATAGCAAAGCCTCAAATACTACCATAAAGCAATTACAGATAGCACTAAACCTGGCTTTAAGAAGACTGAATCTTCATCAGTATACAAATTTTAATCTTCTGAAAGCTTAAATTTCTTTCTTTTTGGTAAATTTTATTCCGCATTTGACATTTCGTTATTGTATTTTAAATACCACGTCTCAATTCCAATAGCAATAGCTGACATGCTGACAAATTTCAGGAAATTTGTAATATTTCTTTGCAAAATTTAACTCTCCAGTTCTTTTAATCGTCCTACTACCTGTAATTTTCGAAATCACAGTTTTTTTTTAAAGATGGTGCGAACAAACAGCAGTCTCATCAAGAATTTTTTTACTTCTTGTTTTTTCTTTACAATAGTTTTGCTTGCAGCTTGCTCGGTCATATTCTGTAGGGTGCTTACAATCGTACACAGTTTGTAGTATACATATTTTATTTACCCATTTCAGTTTTCACTAATTTAAAAAGCTATTTATATTATATTGTATTTGCGACCATATATTCAAAATGAAATAATATAGTATATCAAGTCACATCGATATGTCAAGTAAATTCATTTAAATTGTAATAGTAAAGGTAACATAATTTATTCATAGATAACGGAGCGCTAAGAAGTTTTTAAAGTCAGTCGTATCGGACTTGATACTGACTGAGTATGTATTTTTTTCTTTGAATTTTTTCTTTGAATAATACAGAGAGAAAGCAAAGGTGTTAAGTTTATATATAATGAAAAATTTAAACCAAACTTCAACAAACCGCAAAAATATCCGTTTTATCGTAGTTCGTTTTATATGAAATCTGTATTATAATTTTTTTTGTTTTTTTTTTTTGCAGTAGGTGGAAATCATCAAAAGCCACAGTGTGAGACTTAAACCCACTAAAACACCTCTTAAGAATGAATGGAGAAGATTTCCATAGCATTGAGGAAACTTCATTCCAGTAATCAAGGGTGAGATGTGAACATATTGGCTTAACACCTAGCGAACTAGAATCATCTAAGGCAAATTTAAATTAGGAAGAAAGGACGATGT